AAATTAGCCTAAAATGAGCCAAAAATTATGAGATGTGTCTCATGTTCAAATTTGTGAGTGGCTTTGCTAGCTTCTTCAGTATCACTGGAGCAGGTATTTGTTCAAGTTAATTTTGAATTTAGTTGCTTCCATTCCTTTGGTAATGAAAATTTTGAAAGGAATATCAATTGAAGCAGCAAGTGGAAGGAGGAGTTCTGTTACAAATATGAGTTTGTGAGAGAAATAGGTTTAGTAAAGATAGCTGACATTTTTTGATGGAAACTAGTTCAATAATTTGATTTATGCAATTGTGAGGAATAGTTGTAGGATGATTTTTCATGATTCACAGCATTGTGCTAACATATCATTTTTTGATAGACATCTGGATTTATGCTTACATAACCCCTTCTTCTATTCCAACCTGACCTGACATGTAGACAATGGGCACATATAGCTCCTTTTATTGATTCCTCTTGATGTTTAATGTAACAGCACCTTCTACCACTGTGTATCTGCTCAGATATGAAGAATTCAAACAAATCCTGAGGGCCAAATTACATATGTACCTTCTATGACTAAACGGTATATTTTCAGAAAATGTTGACCTCTTCTTCCACTTGCCCCTTCAACTGCTTGAATCCATTGCAATAGTATACCTAAAAAACAGCGAATTTTTGATTCTGAATCATTTGGTTGTAGAGTAGAAATAGGTACATTCCTGGAAAAAATAAATGATCAAGAATTATATTTCCTAAAAAGTAAGTCAACTATATTTTTACAAGGTGTCCCAAAAACTCAACGTCATCCTTTCCAGGGCTGATAGTCCAGCTCATATGACCTTAGTAAAATAATGATAGTTTTGAATTTTGTGAAAATCGAAACCTTTGATCAGTATTTCCAGTACAAAACTACATAGTTCATGATTCCAGTTTTGTTATGCAATCTGTAATAACCCTTTGACCTATTGATTATAATCCAAAATTTCAAAATAAAATGAATCCAGAATGAAAAGAATTATGCACTACCAGCCTGAGTGAGCTAATTATTTTTTATTTCATTTATTCACAGGAAACCTCATAAAAAAATATACATGATAATATACATTTATTCACTATATATCCCATAAATCTCAATAACCTTTGAAACAAAGATCTGAAAAGTGTTCTTAAGCTGTTTAATGATCATTTTCCTTACACTTTCAATCTCTTTTCAATAGGTGAATGTTAATTGTAAACATTAAAATAAATCAACTGGTGAATCAGCATGTTTTTTTTTGTCCATAGGTATTGCACCAATATTTTTATTTTGAATTGTAATCAATAGAAGGGTTATTATTACAGGTTGCATAAAAAAAATAGAATCAGTTTTGAACTTAGTTTTGTACTTGTGGCACTAAAAATACTGATCAAAGATTTTATTTTCACAGAATTCATAAAAGTGGCAATATCTCCAAAACTTTCAATAATCTACTGAGGTCATATTGTGATAATCTGGTCAGTTCTGAGCTTCAATATCAGCTCTTTGAAGAATGACGTTGAGTTTTGGGAAACCCTGTATAAACCCTCCATTTCTCATTCTGAAGCCAACCTTTCGATGACATGAGTCTGCTAGTGAAACCTTGAGAGAAGCTAACTTGGAATCAGTATCTGAAATGTCTCAGGGATTCCATAGTGCAAAAGTTAAAATTCTACTCATATATACCTTCATACCTAGATGCAGCAATTCTCTTCTTCTCAGCAGTGATATGATATTTCAACTCATAAAAGTGATGCCATCACCTTCTCATCTCATTTTAGTTATTTTCAACTTGATTTTCAATCATCACCAAATATAGCAAACCTAAAACATAAAATAAATGGGTAGGTACATCAGCAGGTAGAGAACACAATAATGAAAAACATTCACTTTCATGATGACCTGTAGGATTGGAACTATACTCAAACTCATTCTCATAGATTCAACTTAAGGTTGAAGGTTTTAATAATATTCACATGAGTACTTAAAATATGTAAAAATAAGAAGTTATAGGAACCCCTAAAATTATAGGAATAGGTATTATATTTTAGTCAAACCTTAGATAATTATAGAGTTCTCTCCTCATATTATCTCATCAATAAATAAAGGTGAACAAAAATCCTTCCAGAAATGGTCACAATCCAACATCCAGACATATTTGGGGCCTTTTTCTGATTTCAATTACTGTGGACTTCTCACATTGTATATTCACTAGGTACCTAGTTCTTAAGGCTCAGCAGAAAACTGAAGCAGTAGTAATTATACTTTCCTTGAGTTTCCATAGTTTCGAATCTGAAAGATGTGGATCTTCTCCTTGATAAATATGTTTTCCTGCATACAAGGTAGTATTCATGCAAGATACAAGATAAGATCTGTGGATAAGATTCTTCATGATTCCTTTCTTTATATTATAACCATATATTTGCTTATTGCTGATGAAAAACTTCATTTCCACAATTGATTCACAGCTGAGCACATCAAAAAACTGCACAGACCATAAAATAGGAATCACTGCTTTCCGGGCTGCTTTCACTATTTATGTTCCCACGTTTCACACCATCATTATCATGATCAATATGCACAGAATCCCGTATTTCGTCCAGGGCTGTAAGGGCCAGTATGCCAGTAAGGGGGCTCGGTCTCTACGTATTTGTCATATCTCCATGATCTGCGTGAACTATTTTTGAATTGTTGAGTGACTGAGTGACCGTGTCCCGTGAATGTCCGAATGTCGTGACTGAACTCAACTCACTAAAACTAAACAAACTATGCCATCGGCCGAGACTGCCGAGAGCACCGCTGAGAGGGAGCGAGGCTCAACTCATTAACGATTTTTAAGGTTATGCAGGTTTGACAGGAAAACAATTGAACTGAGTGTTTCCTCGAGTTGACCGTATGGCGGTACTACTGTATCGGCCACAGAACGCTGTAGGTGATTTCCCCTGTTTGGGCAGACCAGATACTCCAGCTCACTAGATTTTTTCTCCATATTTAGCAGACAATGGTTCAAATATTCGAAAATACTGACAACTGTCAACTCAATACATGCGCCGGCCAATCGCCGGCGTACATATCATATACACGAAGTGTACGAGAGTGCTACACTTTTCGTGCAAAAGAAAGGGCCTATTACGTCATGAGTTACTCAAGGTGACTCGCGGGGTGCGATCGAGGCAACCTTGTCATAGCTGTGGAATGTCGCCATCTATTAGAAGGTCACCGAAACCATTGTTCTCGACAGGTCGTGAATTTCTGAATCGAAAGCACATCCATAGGTGTAACTTTGTGAGGTTAATGGGGGCGCTTGCCCCATAGCACTTCATTAGCTTATTTCCAAGTTCCAATATTTCGTTCGCCATTCTTCTACAACTGAATACAACTTTCATGGAGTTTTGATATCTTTGAAGTATTATTAACAGTGCAGCTTTCGTGAAGTATACTGAATAAATTTATTTTTACCCAAACTATATAAATGTGTAGGTATATTATTCATTATCGGAGCAATCTCCTGTGGCACAGCCGTCTTCATAGTTGAAGACGGCTGTGCCTGAGGCATATGTCGATTTTCATCAATCTCAATTTGCCGCATTGATATTAGGGAAAATTGAATAACATAACAATAAATTAACAGGGTCCTGATGATTGTTTGGGTAGTGATGCCCGAGACAATTATTTTTTCAAATGGAATATACATCACCCTTTATATTTAATTAAACTTTTGGGTCTCCATGGAAAGCTGAATTCAAAAATTCATACATATAGATCCAGCAAAAATAGTTACATCACAGAGATATCGCAGCGATGTGACAATTGTGACCTGCGATGTTACATATAGACGTCGCTGCGATGTCAGAGGGATGTTATTTGGTCCCACTCAAGTGTCATCCATACGACGTCGCTGCCATGAGTTCTCTGCGATATTACACGAAATATTTCGCAATGTAATCGCGATATGTTATTTGTGATGGAAAAGCGATATGTTTTTGCGATAAAACTATAAGATGTGATATGCGAGATGACTTCGCAGTTAAACGAACAAAAAAAACAGTGTCTTCCTCCGAACAACGAATCTTCAAACATGGTGGTACACCATACTGACTTCTGATGACATCTAACATTGCTTGATTTCCAGAATATTCTATGAATATTCTGACAACGTTCAAATATACCTTTATAATTTGGAATATTCTTATACAGTGTGACCCACTTCTAATGGAAACCACCCCTGTATCTTACGTAATCGTTGGGTAAGGATCCTGAAATTTGCTGGAGCGAGAGATATACCAAAAATGCACTCTATGACCAAGTGGGGTCATCTTCAGTGATATACCTACACTGCTCGCCAACAGCCATGAAACTACCCCCAATTTCCGGAAAATGATATTAGGAGTCAAAATAGGTCGAAAATCACTTCAGATTTGGAATCAGGACGCCCAATTTACTAACTATTAAAATTTTTCCTGGAAAATTTTCAGTTCGGAGAAATGAAATTGTGTCGCATTTTTTATGGAAGCACCCCCGTATCTCACGTAATTCACTTTATCTTTGGACTTTCTCTATGAGACGCCGTTTGGGTCAAAAGTATGTATCCAAATATATACTAATCCGTGCCGAAATATTTATTAGTTGCAGCAATATATATTATTTTCAACCGAAATATTTATTAGTTGCACCAATATATAATAATTTGCTGCCCCATATATTTATTTTCCACAAAACCCAATATATTTATGTTTCAAGCGTTACCAATATATATAAACGTGTATATGCAGATGCTTATATAAATGTGAGCTTTTCATCTTTTAAAGAGATGGCGCAACGAACGCACGCGTATTGATTTTATTCGAGATTGAGCACTTGGCATCAGCGCAATTCGAAGTCATTATTACAGGAAGTGAATAATAGATGGCGGTAGCATGCAATGTCAACTACAGAGACTGCATGTCAACTACATGTCATCTATCAATATTATGAGATATGATGTCATATTTTGAGTAATTTGAGTAGAGTTTGATTTGTATATTTTTTGGGCAAGGTGATCGACCGTTGGGGGCGCTGTATCAAAAACAAGAAGGCGGCGTTATCAGGGCACTTTGTTTACATATTTTGTGTGTTTTGAATACATTTTATTCCTGCTATTTATTAATCGTGTTAATTGTGTTGATTCTCGAAGGCATGAATTAGTATATATATGGATACACACTTTTGACCCAAACGGCGCCTCATATTTCTCTTCCTCTGGCAAATTTCAGAACCCTACCTCAATAATTACGTGAGATACGGGGGTGCTTCCATAAAAAATGCGACAAAATTTCATTTTTCCGAACTGAAAATGTTTTCATTATTCCAAATGGGAAGATCATGTGATAGGTACATGGCGGAAATAAAAGACAGATAGTTTCTGTACGAGTAGCTGAATTCGAAAAAATATGTTCCTATCTTAGATTCCTCAATATCATTAGTTATTTCCGAAGGTTTTCATCTTGACTCAAACAAGCTATTGACAACCTGCAGACATTGATCAGAATATCAAAACATTTTGAATAATATCGGTTTACTAATGATATATAAATTTCAGAGCCTACCAAGTGTCGATATATCATCAAATTCATGTCACAACCAAAGTATTCTTTTAGAATAAAAAGCAATTCAACAGCGAATTAAGAAATAAATGCCACTTTGTGATACATGGTTGGATAGAGAATTTCAAGGCGAAAAAGATAGACTGAAGAAATGTACAGGGTGACATTTAAAAAAAAAAGTTGGGGTCACTTCCGGTCAAACAGGTGGTCGAAAAAAATTGTCGTTGAGTTCGTAAAGTGCGCTATCATTTCGTCGCTGTTATTACGAAGGGGCCTAACTCGATTTTTGACGAAAATGAGTTTTTCCCATATTTAGGCATGGGAAGACCTTTTCTATGTCATGACAAAGTGGCATATCTCAATATTACATGGTTTATACTTTATGGAATGATTACAATAAGGCCTATCTCAGAATATACATAAAAATATTTTTACTTAAAGGCAAAAGTTGACATTGGCCCCTATGCCACATGTTTCATGTGTGTTTTGCTGGGCGATTCTTGATATATGCCTTTACCTTATAATTTTTTAGCAGTAGATGGAGGGTAGTTTTCACATAGGCCACTGAGATATTATATTATTATGTATCAATTATCATAATTTCATTCCACAAAAACAATCGATTGAATAAAATAAATAAATGTTTGTTTCAGTTTGTTATGTCGAAAGATGAATAATAAGAGCTTGTAACTGTCTTCTTAAAGTTCAGGCATTTGGGAACTTTGATGTATTAGTCCAGCGAAACTATGAAATAGCGAAGATTATAGATTCAAGTCAATAAGAACTGACGACAAGGCAAGGATTTCAAATGGACCGATATCTTTGAGTTTTCAGTAAAAAAAGATAGTCCAAATGAGATGTTCTTCAAAACCAGTCACCTAAAGACTCAATATCGCGCTCTCACTATAAAACGAAATACTGGCATTACTATAACTCTTACGAAGTTAAACAAAGGATCCAGGCCGATATCTTTGCTAAAATACAATGACCTTTAATGTCACTTTGTACTGGTAACAAGCCTGTCATTAGATCTCCTGACGATGTTTTGTTTTACAGTTCTTTGCCGCACACACAAACATAGTATCTAGGTACTAAGGTTAGTCAGAATTCATGTGTCAACTCAGAGTACCATTTCAGTTCAAAACTGTTAAAGATTCAGAATTTTGTTTTTTATTCTAGTTAATAATACTGTTTTTCTTCAGTAAAACATCACCAAATACTTAGATTTTGAGATGGATTTTTTTTTGTTTTATATGTTTTGTAAGTTATTTCTCAATACAAATAAATATACTGAAAAATCGCCTACCTTTCCATTGAAAAACACATATTTGTAAGAATTAATAGAGGGGCCTATCTGGTTTGATGTAGAAACCAGAACTGTTATTATTTTCACGAAAGGGCCTATCTCAATCAATATTTTATTAAAACGAAACACGTGAAATTTGAAAAAATATATATATGCCTCATTATTCTACATTGATTCATCTACGTGATTTTGAAAACACGAATTGAAATAAGACGTGAATGCTAGTGATACAGCCAAAATGAACACCGCAGTTTTCTTTAAACCATTCTCCTGAAAATTTGTGAATATCGAGATAGGCCCATTCGTAATGGCAGCGACGATTTATTATATATACCCCCTGTGAATTTCAAAATTTTATCTCTTCAAATAAAAAATCTACAGGCTGCTACATGTCTCCTGTGTCACCCGGTATACCGGTTCAAAACTATTTTTGAAACTTTTTTGGCATCCATATTCCAGTTTCCCATGAATAGCCATTAAATAACCTCAAGACATCTACGGTGGATTAAATTCGGGTATAGTGACCTAGTGACTACATAATATATTGCCTGACCAGGCTTGACCCTTGCTGATGAAACGGGGATTTCTTTTGCCATGGCCTTCAAGAAGCGATTATTGAAAATAAGTTTAATGGATTGAAAACCGGTCTCTAATCATGGCGAATTTGTGATTACTGTTTATTTGTATCTTGTATCCCGATATCACATAAACACTGTGTCATCTCTGAAATTATCAAACCTATCAACCGGAGGAATATGCAGAATGCAGGTGAAGTTTTTGTACTATATGGTAAAAACTGATAAATGTTTTGTGTACTGAAAGTCGAGAACTACTGAAGAATTGTATCCATTATGGTAAGCTATATAAACTAGTTCCTAATCTAATAGATTAAGATAAACTAATTGATTTATGGAATTTGGTAGGAGCTTCGAAATGATTGAAGTTGAGGGTCATTAATATTTAATGATCTTTAATCATAGGTAGGTACCTACACACGTAATAGTAGTATATTTATTCCCATATTCATTTGTTTTTTGTTTCATACGGATGTTCTCATAGGTAGTTAACTATACTTTTATAATCATTATTATATGGGTATCATATTGTTTTTAATTCAATTTTGCTAATTACCTCTATTATTGGTGTATCTACACATTTTTTTTTACAGACAATAAGAAATTATACACATGTTCAAATGGGAAATTATTTTATCATCGCAGCATCATTATTATTGAATATAATATCAATATCCTGCCAAGAACTGATATCACCTTGTCCAAGACTGTTTACCTATGAACCAAGAAATCCCAACGAACCTGATAAGTGGTATGGGAGGATCAGCTTGTTGTCTGATTCTGATTTATCTGGAGTGTGGCTGAGAATCATTTTAGATAAAAAATCCATACAGTTAGGGGTGAGTTTTAAAAAGACTTCATAAAAAGAAGAAGTTGTCAATGTTAACGCGTATATTAACACTTATGTTTTATTTTTCACTTCTAACACCTGAACACGCAATTATGTATATATTCGACCTGAGGGCGAAGTGAAATGTCTCATGAAATAACCTACCCACATCAACCCCCTAAGTCACAGGCTCCCCAACTGAAATAATTTTAGTAGCGATATCTACCTGTGGAAACCCTATTTTGAATTGGTGGAAAAGTGAAAGGAACCTTTATGTTCAAATCACTATCCCTAATAACACAATTATGTCCCATGGATATAACTAGGACGTTCCATCGGGACATTCAGGATGTCCATAGGACGTTCGAAAATGGTACCGTAGACGTCCATTGGATGTCTGTGGAACGCACAGATGTCCCACTTGAGGACCAACTAGGGACGTCCTTGATGGATGTCCCTGGGACAACTAAAGAATACCTAAATCTCACAGTATTCCTCATCAAGCATTACGAAGGACAGCCTTAGGACATCCGTAGGACAACCTATCAGCAACGCTGCAACAATTTGATGTCCATGGGATGTCCCAGGGACGTTCGAATTATTCTTGAATTTGAATTTTTCTGGATCCCTCTAGGACCAGATAGTTGCGGGGATATCGAAATAATAGTAATTTACGTAACAAGTTCGGAAAATACTGTGTTTTTGGACGAATAGACAAAATTCTAGGCCGAGCCGTGTAGGCGAGTCCTGGAAGTCTGCGGGTCCAAAAAAATTGCTTTTGGACGTGTTGCGTACACAATTTTTTCGGCAACCATATGGAGAATAACAATTCAATGAGACACATTTCCATATTATATTTCTATGTGGAATACAATTTCTTCTTTATTAATTCCTATTTGTATCAAATACTGAAATTTGAACAGAATACCTATACCTACTACAGATGCATTGGACATTTCGTTTGGACATTTTCAAACTCACTATCGTAGCTGCTTTCGATAGTTTATTGAGATAAAAAATCCAAATGTCAACTAATTTCATGTCAAATAGCTGTCAGCCGAAATTTCGCTGCTATGGTAATTATCATCTGCATTTATCAAAACCTCATCTATCAAGATTTTCATAGTTACAGTGACAACAACGATGTGATACTTCCCGGCTTAGTCCGGGAAGTAAGTAAAAATGCTACTGTCTCAAAGAAAAAACGTCCAGGAAGTCAGCACCGCCGAAAGACATTTTTTTGCTACAGATTATAATAAACCCGTTCGTTTTTTCGGCTAGCCAATATGATATATCAACGGCAATGATTGAGTAATTTAGAAATTCTTCAATAACCACTAAAATTTAAGTATTTTCAAAATTCATATAGAGTCCCTTTACAGCGTAGAATTCACTGGTGAAGAGGGCAAGGAGAGTTACTATACGGTTGGCACAGGGTATCGGGACCCATGTAACTTCTGCATTCATATACGGATTTTTCTAAAATTTGGTAGAGTTATACAGGGTGTATCTTAATAACACCGGAAAAATTCAAGGGGTGTTTCCTTGTGACATTCTAGCAAATAAAGTTCATGTAAACATGTGTCCTAACTTGAAGTTGAAAGTATTAATTGTTTTTATTTATAACCCACCTGTGTGAACTTTCATGGTTCAAAAATTTAGTATGAAAGGTGACTGAGAAAGCCCCAAAATTTCAAAATGATCCTAATTGGATTGGAGTAATTGAGTAATCTCAATGGAAGTCTTGAAAACACCTATATACATTAAAATTTGGAGTCAAATCGATTTTTTATTGATTCCTCAAAAACTAAGCTAGATACAAAAATCACACAAAGGATAAAAAAGTTGTTATTTCAATAGTTCAGTCTAATAAAAATATGAAACTCGGAAAAACCGGTGGTGTACAATGACATTCACCATGAATATCGATAAAACCCACTGTGACGCCACTGGAAATATTATTTCGAATCTAATTGCACTAGAAGAAGTTCCATATTACTATTAACAAAACCACAGAGTTTTATTGAAATTGATGAGAAGACAATTGAAAAATGAATAGAAAAAAGATTTGTCATGGAAATATTAATACCCTGTATCTCGAAAAGGGAGCAAGTTAGGACACATGTTCATATTAACTGTATCTTCTAGAATATCAAAAGGAAACACCCCTTGCATTTTTTTTGTATTATTTAGATACCCCTTGTATAAGCAACTATTTCGGATTTTCTCACATTACAATCCAATATGGAGAACTTCCGGTTTTTCTGGAAATGTCAGCAACTTTGTTTTTTCAAATGGTCATCAATATTTCATATATTCAAGTTCAACAGGTCAAAATCAGTGCACTCTTTATGTCATGTCATTATTTGGAAAAATTTGAGATTAAAATTATTTTTTTTATTTTACCTCTTGAATGAAAGAGATGTGGTCAAGGCTATTAACAATGAGTCGCACCTAACCTGATATACAGAGGGTTTCAAAGTTAAAGATTTTGTTTGTGTTTTTCCAATTTGAGCCTATCCAGCGTTCTTAAATATTCCTACAGGATGATACACTTTTGTGGTCGTGCAAACTTAGAATCCCTGTACATCGGAAACGAAGCTCCCATGCACGCATATTGTTTATATATTTTTCTACTACTGCTATGAAAAGTAGCGCATTTCTCATAGCTTACTTAGTTTCAAAACCATGTATTGCTCATACTGTAAGAAATATTTTTTCACACGGCACTTTGCCAACACCACATACATTTCCATGGAGAATCAACAAAAATCGACCAAAACTTAATTGGCTGCTGTCCAGCTTTGAATAGTTGTCACAACTGTCAGTCGAAGTTTTTTAAATTCTTTAGGGTAGTTCTCATCATTAGTGCTTCCGATAGAAATCGCAGTTTCCATCAAATATTATTCCAACAATGCATAATAAATGATATGATGTATATACCGAGATGTGACGATTTCGATAAATACACCACCAGAGACATAGGTAATGGGATACTGAGAAAGTTGGATTTGTTTCCGGAAATTTCAAGAAAAAAGTATGGATTGACAAATATGAAAAATTTATGGAATCTAAAAAATATACGGAAATAAAATCTTTTTCGGAAAGTGTACTTTTTTGAAATACTTTGAGGAACTAGGAAAGGCGTCTACTCTTTGGTCACAATATTCAATGTGGCATAGTGCCACATTATAAAATGAATACCAATAAGATACATTACTAGGATTCTTTGGATAAGTGCAGTTGTAGATAAAGTATAGTGTGCAACATGTGGGGAAAAGTACCTACTTTTCTCACTCGTGTGTTTGCATCAGTCGCCCTTCAGGCTCGTGCCACAAACTTTCACACTCGTCAGAAAAGGTGAACTTTCCCCACTTGTTGCACAATATACTATTTCCTACACAATATACTATTTCCTACGAGCGTGCGGAAAAAAAACTTCTTCGCATGAATTTTCGTTTTGAAAGTTGTACTTTTCCGTACAATTTTACTTTTCCGCATTATTTTCACTTTTCCGCACGATTTCGAAGGAAATACTAGGAGACATGGTGGTGATAAATGTTGGCACCAGAACGTATATCTATACCAACAGTCGCTATAAACTGACAGTAGTGTCAGTCAACAAATAAGCATTTTGCTTGTACGTAATTCTAATTAAAAATGGACAACTCCGGATACTTTCAATATCTCCCGCTGGAAATAACTGATGCGAACACTAACCAATCAAATTCAAATAAGAAACTGCTATATTACAGCATGCAACAAACACAAATTGCACTTTCAATTTTAATATTCACCATCGTTAATGTTTTTATTGTTATTTAAATGTTCTTCGAATAAGTTTCCTATTATATCGATGAAAAAAAAATCTATTTCATCGTACGGAAAAGTTACTTTACCGCACTAGTGCTGAAAAGTTACTATTCCGCACGATTTTTGTATTGTTGAAAATATGCATATTTAGGACTAACTAAATGATCCATATTACTATTCTGTCTTATGCATCATTTTATAGCATCATTATAGAATATTGTTCAATTAAAACTTTTATTTTCATAAATAATAAGGCCAAAAACACTCGTAGAAAAAACTTTGTACCTAACAACGTCACGTGCGGAAAAGTACTACTTTCCGCACTTGTTAGGTTAATAACTATTTCATCTTGAAAAAATATCTCCTTCATGCTGTTGAAGTCCTGCCACAAAAAACTGACAGCCTGTATAATATGGATGAGTCTATAGGTTTTAATTTTTTTAGAACTGGTTTGGAGAGGTGAAGACTGATGATAACAAAGAATATTTAATCAAAAACCGCCAGAAGCAACTCAAAGCCAACGTTCCGGACTTCGTGAGGTTCTACATCAAACACGATATGAATGAACCGCCTCCCAGATTGACAGGTTTTCGACTGAACGCCAAAATGGTGTGTCCTGAAGGTGGTTTACCAACAGAACCAACCACGCCGCCCCAGCAGTGGTTCACTAGCGCCGAACTGACAACCACGCCAGCTCCGGTTGTTCATTCAGTAACAACACACGTACCAGATGTAGCTCCAAGTATCAGTGAAATATCTGAGGGTACTGAACCCTTGTAAGTACCTATGTACAGGTTGGCCAACTAAGAATCCAGAGTTCGATACCTCTGTTGTCTTGAGAGATACAAAAAAAAGTTTCGCATTCAAATTGAAGTGATATCCGAGCTTCACATTTCAAAATTTCTTTGAAATACACAGGGTGTTCCGTAAGGTCACAGCACATCAAAGCTATGTTTTTTTCATTGGAACACCCTATATTTTATTTCATTTTTGAATTCTCCCTGACGATCTGATTTCAACGACGTATCATACTTAGGGTCTAGCAGTGAAAGTTACTGACATATAGGGTGTGCAAAATCGAGATTTTCCAAGTTCAGGATTTTTTTCTGTCGAAACTGTTCATTATTCGTCAAAACGGTTTACATGTCCCTATCTCAACTTTTCACTCACTATCAATTGGTGTTCAATCGACATTTAATTGAAACAAATTATAAATTTAGATTTTTTGACCACCTTGTATCAATTTCAATTGAACACCAATTGATAGTGAGTGAAAAGTCGAGATAGGGACATGTAAACCGTTTTGACCAATAATGAACAGTTTCGACAGTAAAAAATCCTGAACTTGGAAAATCTCGATTTTGCACACCCTATATATGCCAGACCCTAAGTATGATGGGTCATTGAAATCAGATCTTCAGGGAGAATTCAAAAATGAAATAAAATATAGGATGTTTCAATGAAAAACACATAGCTTTGATGTGCTGTGACCTCACGGAACACCCTGTGTATTTCAGAAAAATTTTGAAATGTGAAGCTCGGTTATTACTTCAATTTTGATTCATGAATTTTTTTTTGTATCTCTCAAGACAACAGAGAAATCGAACTCTGGAGTCTTAGTTGGCCACCCTGTTCAGTGTGACCCACTTCTAATGAAAACACCCTTGTATCTTACGTAATCGTTGGGTAGGGATGCTGAAATTTGCTGAAGCGAGAGATATACCAAAAATGCACTCTATGACCAAGTAGGGTCATCTTCAGTGATATACACTGCTCGCCAACAGCCATGGAACCATCCCAATTTCCGGGAAATGATATTAGGAGTCAAAATAGGTCGAAAAAATCACTCCTGATTCGGAATCAGGACGCCCATTTCACTAACTATTCATATTTTTCCTGGAAATTTTTCAGTTTTTCTGTAGCTACGAATTTTCATAAAAAAATCGAAAAACGACACCATCCTTCCTCTATTTTTAGATTCATTCACAATTTAATTTCATAATTTCCAGTAAACTTATGCATTATATTTTTCTTTCAGTGTACGTCCACCGAGTAACGAAAATGGAAACACAGAAGAAGACGATTTTTTCACAGGAGATTTTTCATTCTTCGGTAAACCTCAGAAACCACTTTTCGATGAAAGCACATGTGGAACAGTCATAGTAAGATGATTTATTATTCTATGATTCAATAATCTATCAAAACCTATCATTCGATATTTACCTATTTTTTATAAGGTAGTCATCCCTGGATGTGATTGTTTTGTCACTATACTCCCTCTAAAATAGTCTAGATTAGTCTAGCTAGAACATATACCTTATATATGATGCTATTTTTGAACAGAGACATCATTTTTCTTTAACAGGATTTATTAATTGAACATTTCATAACATCAAATAGTTTCAGAACAAACATATGAAGGTAGCATTCTTCAAATTATTCACAAACCCTTCATGACAAAAGGAGATGAAGTTTTTATGATGATATTGACACACAACTATCTCCAACTATTCAAAAATGCACAAAGTACAGCGTGTGTCCATTTAGTGCGTAATTCTTCGGTATCTCGAAAGCCATAACCTACAGAGAAAAACTTTGAGGAAAAAACTTTTTCAGTTTCTGAAGTTGCTTATTTCAAAAATATTTTCAACATTACTGGGTATTTTATAAAAGCGGGACGACTCGGAGACGAGTTTTTTTAAATAGAACACCCAGTATTGTTTATTCGGAATATATTCCGCCGAGGTTTAACTTCACATTGCTGTAAACAAAATTGGAATCGGTTGCGGCATTGCCAAGTTATAATTGATAAATATATTTTTAGCACTATTGAAGAATCATGTTGAATTGGGCATGGTATATTCATTTATTTAAATTTTGAGAATATTTTTAGCATACGGAAGTAGCAAGGTCTTACGTATACCAAGCCAGTAATTTTGCGACATATTCTTTAACACGGTGCTCAGTTTTGCATTTAGAATTTTGCTAGATTCAGATGACATTCATTAGAATTTTTCAGATGGAACACCCTGTATTTTTATTCACAAATTTATTCCGACATCTTTCTCTTTTTTATCGCTGAAAAAAATTTGAATCGGTTGCGGCGTTATCAAGTTATGAATAACTTCTTTATTTTTACTACTATTTCGGGGTAATTTGTATGTACTTCATAGTTTTTTCATTTATTTGTATCGCGTATATTTTTTTACAATAGGAACATTTACAGGCTCTCCAAGTTTGGGTTTGAAACAGAGTGGGCTTTGACAAATTGATCCAAAATGCTACTTTCACAGATTTTTCGCAGACTATGAAAACATTTTTCGAAATACACTACCATTATTTGTGTAATGACCTGTCAAATACCGCCACAATCAAATATATCTTGAATTTATTCAAAATTTTGCTGAATTCTCTCGCGAAACCCGCGTAGTGAAGATTGTTTGTATCATTATGTAAAGTTTGCCTCCTTCGAGTTAAATATGGAGATTTGGATTGTGGGAATAACGACAATAAATGTGGTTCAAATTTTGACCTTATTCTCGCAATCCCAATCTGTCATTGTTTGTATTGTAGAAGTTGTTTCAAAGGCAGAACGTTGCTTTTGGCATGTTTGTTTGTTTCACATAGGTACCTACATATTATTCAAATCATAAGTAACAAGATTACGGAATATTTCAAATTTGGACAATGCCTCGAATGTCATGTGGCAAGCGATATTCCCACACTCAAATGAAATAAAGCAACCATGCCTTATAATTGAGCTCAGAGATAGTGATAAATTTAACATACGGAAATTACTTATAAATTGAAAACGCCGCAACCGATTTGGATTTTTTTTCAGCGATGAAAAGGCGGATGATGTCGAAATGAACCTATATGAAAAATACAGGGTGTCCCATTTGAAAAGTTCTAATGAACGTCGTCTGAATCTTACAATATTCAAAATGTAAATTTTAGCACCCTGTGAAGGATAACCTCACAAAATTACTGGATTGGTGTACGTGAGACCTTGCTACTACTGTATGCCAAAAATATTTTCAAAATTTCAATAAATGAATATACCATACCCAATTCAACATTACCCTTCAATTAGTAGTAAAAATGGGTTTATTAATTATATCTTGGCAACGCCGCAACCAAATTCAATTTTTTGTACAGCGATGTAGAGCTAAACCTTAGCGGAATAAATTTCGAATAAAATATACTGGGTGTTCTATTTAAAAAACTCGTCTCCGAGTCCTCCCGCTTTTATAAAACACCCAGTATTGTTGAAAATATTTCCGAAAAGAAACCTTTAATAACGAAAGAAATTTGTTTTCAAAAGTTTTTCTCTAGTGATAATGGATTTCGAGATATCGAAAAATTATGCACTAAATGGACACACTATAAGTGACTATTCTGGAATACAATAAATCATTCCAGAATTACGTCATTTGACAGGTTGCTGAGGGGCAAACATTGTATTTTGTCAAGATATGTCATATAAAACCAGAATAAGTGGGATCGTTTTCCTTGGAATCCGAGTTGGAACCAGAAAGAATTCCATAATTGTGTTTGGTGAAACTGTTATTATATTGTAGATGTGGCAGGGATGGTCAGGGCTATGCTCATCAAAGGTAACCTCTAACAGATAGTTTGTGTGCCCCTCAAGAAACCGTGTCAAAATCACGTGTTCTAGAATGATCAATGCTTTTTGATATCAACCTGAGGCTTTCTGATCAAAACTGGAAAATGTGTAGCTTTCTGTTTGCAGAAACAACCCAGGCCGTTGATAACCTATGGCCAAGTGACACAAGAAGGTGAGTTTCCATGGCATGCAGCACTCTACCATGCTAGAGGAATTGATCTGTCCTACATTTGCGGTGGTACCCTAATCAGTAGATATCACATTGTGACTGTTGCACATTGTGTTACTAGAAGATCGGTACAGTCCACATTGAATCCCAGCAGCCTTGTTGTATATTTGGGTAAGAAATATGCACCAGCCACTAAGCAACATACTAATTACATAACAGACAATAAAATTTCGTTATGATAAAAATTACCATATATTTTTATAGATTTTTGGGGTTATCTCTCCTCAATGAATGAAAATATAAGTATTTTTTAGATATACCTGTAGTAAGGACAAATCAGAAGATTTGCCCCATATTGTCACTGCTCACTGCACTTAAAATTTTGCTATTAGGAACCTGCTTAGAAACATTCAATCGATAATCAGTAATATCATGTTTGAAAAATGTTTGAAGAAGAGGTTCATTAAAAAACATAAAATTTCTTTCATTGAAAAGAAATATTCTCAGATATATTTATGAATATATCTGAGAATATTCCTTTTCAATACTTTCACCCAATCAAGGGGTTCAAATTTGAACGATGGAAATTTGTTATTTTTATAGACCTTCAATCGCAGATTCGTGATTAGGTTTTCTCAATTCAGAATTTCTTTCCACGTCCTGTATGATGAATATCAATCTATCATGCATCCAAAAATTGCATTTATCTTATGGATATTTCTTGAGATTGATCTCTTCGTTTTTGTATTTTGACACATCTTAGTGATAGAAAAATATGACAGATATACAGGGTGTCCCAAAATTGTCTTTACAAAAACTTACCACATATTGCTCATACCAAAACAATCAAACTTACCTCAGTAGAAAGTTGCTTGGTTTGGGCAGTAGACGGCTCTGCAGTTGAAATTCATTTATCGTTTTTGCTTCATAACTTTGCAATGAAACTCTTTGTGTGGTCGGATTTAGTGGCCTCGAAATAAGCACGGAGTTGATTCTAATGGATTTATTCGCTCCAACAACACCCAGTATGACAAAAAGGGCACACCTTGTTACGCCGTAACCACAACTACAAAAACAAATCTAAAACCTAGTACTTACACGAAATATATTATTTCGTTACCTACCTACAAAAATGCAGGCACAGGTGAGAATTATTTCGAGTAGTGAAGTAATTTCCTTTGGAAACCAAAAGCTGTTTTGATAATTGAGTTGGCCTATGAAACACTTTGGTTCAATAACATAATATCATTCATCCGCTCTGGATGGGTTGGATTCAGAACTGAAGATAATTGTCGGATAGCATGTAAAAAGCGTAGTGTTTTTGTAGAGCCTGGGTTTTTGCAAGCCGTTCGCGATGAACTGTACGTTAATGACTGGGAATTTTGATACATTTGCGCTTACAGGGTGTTCTTTAACAAACCAGACGAAAATTTACAATTAACTAATTCATTACAACAGTGAATATCGACGACAAATAACTGGAGAGCTAGGGGTTTTGCTACAACTTCGAAGCGGCTCATGATTTTTATTGGGCAATGAAACCCATGTCATGATAGTATGATAAATATTATTCCATGTGCACAGAACTTGATTTTTTCAGTAAATAAACATGTGAAACTTCTACGCCAATGGAAAGAAAGGGGTTTGAATATGAAATTTGGATTGCATAAGTTGTTTACTACAATAAAGTTACTCCTGATGTAATTCAATCTCTCGTGGTTTCCAAAAAATTTGAATTTTAGTAATTCAAAGCATCAGTCAACACTAAAAGGATAACAGATATATCTCGAAAATTGTTGAGAATTTTTATTATTTCCACGTATACAAAGATTTATGACGAAAAAATCGAAATGTGCTATGAGCTATTTTTTGTTTTTTATTTTTTGTACTGAGTAAGCCAGAGCCGTCTAGACATTCAGGACGTCCATAGGACGTTCGAATTTGGTACCGTGAACGTCCATTGGACGTCTGTGGGACGCACAAATGTCCCAATTGAGGACCAACTGGGACAACTATCGAATACCTAAATCCTACAGTATTCCTTATCAAGCACTACAGAGGACGTCCTTAGGACATCCATAGGAAAACCTATCAGCAACGCTGAGGGATACGAATTATTCTTGAATTTGAATTTGTTTGGGTCCCTTTAGGACCAGATCTTGCATAACTGATTATAGGACATCCACTTGAGTTGATGGTCCGTAGAAGGTCCCCAAAAAGTTTTCCAAGGATGTCCAATGGACTTATACGTGAAGGACATTGACGAGGAGTACTTATAGCCTACGAGCAATCATTCGTCGGCGAAGTGTAAGTTAACGTCCTCGCAGGGACAACATATTGAAAGTACTGACTAGGACGTCCATAGGACTTTATTTCTAGGACATTGAAAGAGAACAGTTCATGTACCAAATCCGACGGACATTCGAAGGACGTCCCTAAGGGACATTCCGATTGTTATACGATCCTGGAAATATTAAGGGCGCCTGTGCAGAGATATTTGGAGGAATGTACCATCAGGGTCATTTCATGGTTGTCTAGAAGGGACATTATATAAGATCTGAGGTCATGCCAGTATATGTACCACTCGGGACATCCGATGGATGTCCCTAGGGGAACGTTCAAAATTATATCCTATCAGGGACAAGCCAAGGACGTCCTTGCATGGGCATTCTACAATATGTACCACGTGGGACGTCCAAGGGATGCCATTTCTAGGACATTTGAAATGATGTACCAGCTGGGACATTCCGTGGACGTCCTTGCTCGGACATTGCATGAGATGTACGGGATGGGACGTCCCAAGGGCACTTATTTTTGGTTCGGGACATTCGGACGTGAATTGTACCAAATAGGGACGTCCCTAGGACGTTGTGTGCTATTAGGGCTTCGAAGCGGCTCATGAAATTTTTATTGGGTAATGAAACCCATGTCATGATAATGATAAATATTATTCCATGTGCACGGAAATTGAAAGAAAGGGGTTTGAATATGAAATTTGGATTGCATAAGTTGTTTACTACAATAAAGTTACTCCTGATGTAATTCAATCTCTCGTGGTTTCCAAAAAATTTGAATTTTAGTAATTCAAAGCATCAGTCAACACTAAATAAAGGATAACAGATATATCTCGAAAATTGTTGAGAATTTTTATTATTTCCACGTATACAAAGATTTATGACGAAAAAATCGAAATGTGCTATGAGCTATTTTTTGTTGTTTATTTTTTGTACTGAGTAAGCCAGAGCCGTCTAGCAAATTATGTATTAATGTGTATTTGCTTGTATCAATTTTTTTCGCCTTATACATCTTCGTAGACGTAAAAATGATGAACATATCGAAATTTTCTTGATATATCTGTTGATCGATTCAATGTTAACTGATGTTTTGAATTACTGAAATTCAAATGTTGTCGAAACCATAAGAGTGACCAAATGTTAGAGGAATACCTTTTTTGTTGTGAACAAGTTACAAAATCCAAATTTCATATTCAAACTCCTTTCGTAGAAGTTTCGGATGTTTATTTACTGAAGAAATCAAGTTCTGAACCAATTGACTAATATGTATCATTATAATGATATGGGTTTTAATGCCCAATGAAGCTATGCCATCGTACCGAATTTGGGTAAAATCTCATGAGCTGTTTCTGAAGCAAAAACGATTTGAGAATTTCAACCTCAGAGCCGTCTAGTGCCCAAAGTGGGCAACTTTGTACTGAGGTAAGTTTGCATATTTCGAATTTAGCCTGAGGAATATATATATATATATATATATATCGTACGTTTCTGTAAAGACCTTTTAGGAACACCCTCTATATACGTTCCCCTTTCCTGCAGCACACCCCTGTGTGCCTTACATTTTCATTCTGACTGAGCCTGCTCAAAGCGAAGACAGAGCGTGGCTATGAAGTGAGGACAGAGCAATGTAGAACGACCCAGTCAATACTTGATTAAGTATTCATCACGTATATCTTTTATATTTTGTTCCGGTCGACTGGCCACCAAGTCCTATATGCCGGTAAATTTCTTCCATACGGATCTGGATCAATTCCGTTCAGAAGCAAGGAGATTCCTCGTTTATCTTTTTTCGCGTATCTTCTTTTCCTTTGATTTTCCTATCATTTCACTCCGCCATGTATATTGGGAGGATACGGAGAGGAGGTAGGTGTTGGACGTTTTTCAACTTTTGGAGATCATAAGTTCTTGGGAACACTTTCATGGGGACAAATCAGCTGATTTGTCCTCACTACAGGTATAAGAAATAATTACTATTGTTGGATTCTGAATGGAGGCATCGTAACACATTTATTCAGTCGGGATAGCTTGTACAAAGAAGATCGTTAATTGAATACAACGTACGACCGTCTCCTCCTGATGCTAATGAATGAATACCCGCTTCGATCGCATGGCATCATGATTACGAAATCCGATGAATCGCCACCTTGTGATAAGGCATTCCTATGTGTTTTATTCTCATTTAAGGGGTGATTTGAACTTCGTCGCTAACATTATATCTTTATATATAGAGTGAAGGAGAGAAAAATCCCAAAAATCTAGAGAAACGAGATTAGTGTTGGTCATAAGACTTAAATTAATGTTATTGATTTCAGGGAAATTTTATCTGAAGGTGTGGTCGAATCCAGGAATCCAAGATAGACAAGTTGAGAGAATATTTGTTCATGAAAGGTATAACTCTCATGCATTCAAAAATGATATAGCTGTATTGAAATTATCAACTCCAATTGAGATAACTGATTACGTGAGACCAGCGTGTTTATGGGAAGAACAACAAACTTTGGAAGCTGTGATAGGCAAACTAGGTAAGGCATCATAGCTGCTCTTGAAGTATTCGAAAGGAGCATGGATATAAATACACGACGGATGTATGATTTGAAACAGCAAAACCGAGTTATTTTCGAATATTTGTTTTCTGTTATACAGGGTTACTGTTAATTAGATACATTCCTTTGGAGGTGTGACAAGGGAGGTGGTGAGGGATCGATTTAACCCCAATATGCCTTACGCAAAAAGTGATAGTTTTTGAGATATTTGAATGTTTGTGGTCTTCTCCAATCTCCAGAAGGTAGACTTTGAGGGTTTGAAAGTGAGTTTCCCGAAAATATACTGTACATATTTTCAACTGGAACTATCGACTGGAATACAAGATCAACAAGATTTTGGATCATAGATGAATAGTGAATGCAAAGTCTTGAAACGGATTTGTTATTCTGAACGAATAGTATAAAGCATATACTTGAAAAATGCCTATCAGTATTTATTTTCGGTGATATAGGTAGCAGTTTTTTATTTTCGTTTATTTGCTCGAGACATCGAAATAGCATAACACATTCTCATAACCTCCGTTATTGGGTCAAAAAAAGAACCGTTAAAGGAAAACTAGTTTTGTACGGAAATTTTCAGTTTATGTGTGGATGGGACTCATTGACAGTTATTCAATAGGACAACAGAGAAATTTATGAACATTTTATTCTACGGTATGATCTACGTATGATGAAGGTTTTTGGACCGTTGGATTGGAACTTCAGGTCCAATTGGTTGGCCAGTGCGAATCCCTGACCTCTAACCCCCTTTCATTATTAGGTGTGGAGTCATATGAAAGCGCTAGTTCATGAAACCACAGTGAATACCCAGGAGGAGCTCATAAAAAGTATAACCAACGCTGCCCTGCACATACAAAATAATTTGACAAGTAGAATAACAAAGACGAAAATATATTCGTGAAAGAGGTTTCACTTTGAACAGGATTTGTGAGAAGTAAATACTATCAGAAGTTTTTCAAGTACGTTTTTGATATTCATTCAAAATAACAAACCTGTTTCAAGCTCCCATATTATCATTTGTATCCAGTTAGATAGCTTTTGCTCTAAGGCAGTTTTAAAAATTTTTCGACGAATGTGACTTGGAGATGTTTCTAAAAATACCCCATAGGAAGTGTAAAAATCCACAATTCACAAATGAAAATACGACTTTGTATCTACAATTTATCTATAATCTGAATTATCTCTGAAATGGGCGTGTACACCTTAGTTGAACTTTTAACTCAAACCATGTTTATAATGATCCTTTTATACATAAATAATGATTGACGGCATAATTCGATTAACTGGAATGTTTTATTTTTGGACATAAATAATATTACCTTCTGAAAACGGACCCTCTTATGACGTAGAAACCTCATCTCGTCATAGTTAAAAGAAAATACCAAACGCTTGACGGATACTAAGGCAACTGATATATTAATTCTTCCAACTGTGATCTAGCGCTAATTCACTCTGTCAGAAATCATGTATCATTCATCTCTGTCTGGAATAGTCTTGTTTCAGTATTAGGGTTTTGACGTCACATCATCGCCTCGTTTTCAGAGGACGGAAAAATCGGGGATTTCAATAATTTTTTATGAAACGTGGGGAGCTCACAGCAAAAAACGCTTTGCGGTGGTGAGCTAGTTTGGGTGAGTTCTATCAAATTATGAAATACACATTTTTTGTGATATAAGCCCATTGAAAAAATGTACAGCAGATTTTCGGGAAACAAACTCTTAAACCCTTGAAGTCTACATCTTGGAGAAAAACCAAAAAATTTAAATATTTAAATTCACTCCTTATCACCTTCCCTATCACATCGCCGAAGGAATGTATCGAATTACCCCAGTAACCCTGTATATTTCAACAAGTACTTTATTGTTTTGATTTTTTTAGGTACTGTGGTTGGCTGGGGATTTGACGAAAACGGTAAAGTTACCGAACAACTGACCAAGGCGCACATGCCGGTGGTATCACAAGAGACTTGCATATACTCGTTTCCAGACTTTTATTCCAGATTCACCTCCGATCACACATATTGTGCCGGATTCAAAAATGGTAAGGCTCCTGAAAATGCTAGTTACGCAATACAGGCAACGAATAGCAACGGCTACTTTAACTACGTCGTCCAAATGTTTCGATTTAGATATTCTCCAGGATTCACAGCATATGATATCACAACAGGTATTTTTTCCATGATGCTGACATCCTCTGATCTTTGATCTTTTTCTAATGCTCTTTCTCTTACACTTATGCTTGGCAACAGGTATTTTTTCCATGTTGCTGATATCCTCTGATCTTCTGATCCCTTTCTAATACTCTTTCTCTTACACTACAAGATATTTTAGTTATTTAAGGAAAATTACCCGAATCAAAATGTTCAGATTTTTTTGTATCAATATTTTTTAGACAAAGATATATTATTATCTTGGAGTCTGTGTTCGAAAGAGCTTCTTAGAAAACAGAACACACATCTCGAACATTAAAATCGAATATATCTGACAAAAAAATTACGTTATTTCACAGGCCTCTGCACGAAGCTCAATTTTAATCTTATATATTATACATGCGCTCACTGACAAAAACGGCGCTATTTATGATCCGAATTTGAGGAACAAATAAAAAAACAAAAGAATGTATCATCAGATATATATACCTACTATGAGTAGGCTTCAATCACTATTTTCTCAAATGTCAACTTTAACTTCAACAACTGACTGTTAACTTTTATTTTCAAATGGTATATTATGTTTTTTTTTTAATACAGTGATGTAAGTATGACAAGTTGATTTCTGAACAAAATTGGTAGATGAAAAATAAATAAATATCTGACAAAAAATGAATATCAGTGTTCCATTTGTCAGATATTTCAACACCGCATGTGATATAAAAGTGTGCTAGGGAAGTAATCATAATATTCAAACTAGGCATCGTTATAGACCGTTGGCCTATATATGGGCCAACGGTCTATTATGTTGAACACACTATTCAGACGTAAACTGATCGCTCCATGGCATATGACAAGAGTATCTTCTCATATTTACCATCATTTCCTCATAAATAAAACAGAATATTAATTTTATCTCGAATTGATTCGGATTTTGAGATGAATTTTGTTGCCGATCAAGTGACAATCAGAATATATGATTCAATTTAACGAGGTGAGAAAATTATAAGTTTGTAGGATTCTAATATAATTTTGATAACAACGCAAATGTGAATCCTTTTCTTTACTGAAAGTGTTCCCCGAGGCATATAACCTCCAGAAATTTAAGAAGAACACCAATTCCTACCTTATTGCCCTTGGTTCTCACGTTGTTCTCTGAACATTACAGGATATACCTTTTCGTGGGAACCAGAAAATGAAAAAAAAAACTTAACTTAACCTCATTTCACTTCTCAGATGAAAATGTTGAAGCATGCTGATCTTTCCCTATCAGAATTGAAAGATTTCCATTGATTTTGCATTTTATACGTACAAAACCTTCATAAAATGTCAATGTTTAATTTTATCATTTCCATAGTGCAATCTGCGTACTCGAACATTTTGGTTCGGGAAATTTTCGGGGGAATTTCTTAAGAACAGATACAGAGGGTGATCAGGATTCTGAATCTTGAACCACCCTGTATTTGTTTCAATTAAATGTCAGGAGATCAAGAGTAAAGGAACATTAGAGCGGTTTTGATCGATAATGAATAGTTTCGACACAAAAAAATCCTAAAGTTGAAAAATCTTGATTTTAAACACCCTATACCTATGTTATCATTCCCGCTAGACCCCAAGTGTGATAGATCGATGGAATCAGCTATTCAAGCAGAATCTGAAAATTCAATAAAGTACAAGGTGTTCTGTTCAAAATAAGTTAATAAAAAATCCGGAATAACTGAAAAAGTGGTAACATTGACTATAACATTTTCGCCACGTCTTGAATTCACACAGTACATAAATTCAAAAAATCCAACAACAGGTTACCGAGATATTCACCTGTTTCCATACATACCAGCGACCTCGAAGCGAGAGCCCTGAATCGAAAACCCTGTATAATAAAAAAATAATATTTTGATTGAATTTGAAACTATGCGTCAATAGGACATCAGAAAATATTTTTTCCATAATGTCGAAACATTTTTGACGGACCCTGTATCTCACCTCAGGTACATCTGTGTGCAACGGCGATTCTGGTGGTGGAATGGTATTTCCGAAAAGAGGTTCCAATCCAAACAATCCTATCTGGCAACTACGAGGAATGGTATCAATCAGCGTTGCCCTACAGAACCAAGTCCGATGTGACTCGAGCCACTATGTCGTATTCACTGACACCGCTAAGTATTTAGACTGGATAAAAAAAGCTTTGAGATCTTGATTAATATGAATGGAAATCAAAGAAAAAAGTTTCGTAGGAACTTCAGATTATATTTTTTTACTTTTACTATTCGATGGATATCAATCTATTATAAAATTTCTTTGTTCCTGATCTTTCTTATTTTACTAGGTATAAATGACTGGTGTGCCCTTTTTGTTTTTTAATATATTTATTACAACAATCCCAAGCAGCGTTATTTTCATCGATTACTTGTAGCATAGTTACAGAGAGTGTCATCAGTATGACAGTTGAAATAATCCGACCGATTTGTAATTAGTTGCATTTTATTTATACGATTTCGCCACCGGAATGACTTGTAGGAAGTTTGAGCTGTATAACCTTGAATAGTTTGAAGTCCGAATTAGGCAATCCAACTCATGTTATAATCAATATGGCGGCTGGTTGGCACCCAATATATAATCAATATAATAACATGAATAATTTGCCGAATTGTATTCGATGCGATTATTTTTTTACTAGTTCTGAACACGTCAACATTTCACGACGTGCTTCGTTTGTATGTAACAATATGAATTGGTTACTAAGGAATTAATTCTAAATTTCTGATTGGTGGAGTTACTCTCGAAATTATACAAGGTAGCTCAACTCAATTGAACGATCTGATTGGTTTGAAATCTTACCAAGAAAATAATCAAAAAAAAATCATTCTATACAAGGTGTTTTACGGTGGATGGTGATCAATAGAGTATTGCCGCGTATATCAGAAAGTATTAGCTTTGTTTTTCAAATAGAAGACCCCATACATTATGTTATTTCTGGTCAAAACCTGATCCTTGAAAAATGAAGATTTTTTTACAACGCAAATTCAGAAAGCATACATTTAAGCACAAAGAGTCTCAGAAGTAACTTCCTTTCGGGGACTATAACTGATAGTCATTTTATTTTTAAATGGAACATCCTGTATGTTATTATTTATTTGAAAAGCTGCGACATTTTAACTGTGTATAATTCCCCTATACCTATCTCGAAAAATTTTCATACCTAGATAGTGGGCTATGAATGTCTTCCAATGTCATCCGGAATGCAAGTTTCATAGGAGTGAATGTATTAAGTCAGAAAATAATTACTCAAATGTGATTTTGATGGATTTTATCAGTATTTATGGTCAATGTTACAAGATGTCAGCAGAACAATAAGAACGTGCCGGTAGATCAATGAAAAGTATCCTGATTCACCATAAAGATTCCAAAAATGACATAATATACGGAGTGTTTCATTTGAAATAAAAAAGTAGCTACCACTTTATGATAAGTGATGTGGCATGGATCACTGTATTGATCAACATATTTTAGACGGAGGTCTTAATGTTCCATTCACCTTGAAACACCTCTCTTGTATTGATCATTGTAATTGAACATATCCGATCAAGCTGAATGAGATCAAACACAAAGGGTTTATTACTGTATATTTTTCCCATCTCTATTCTTATATGAAAGCAATCAAAACAAACAGATTTCTAGTAATTTTGTAATTCGGTATAAAGTACCGAAGAGAAGCCGTCGTGCGTCATGTTCACTAAACAATTTTTTTTGATTCCGATGTAGCAAATATTATCCATATTTTCTCGTTTGTAATGTTATTAAATGTTTTTGTCGGATTGAGTTAAAATCTTACCTTACAGACTTTCTGTTACTGTGAATTTCAACTCATACCTACTAAGTTTCTTGAAGGAATTTAAACCTCAAGCAATTGCTGTTGTACCAGGTGATTCAATAAGGGTAACCGAGAAGCTGTATCTCAGGAACTAAAACATTGCTAACAAAAGGTATGGTTCGAGGAAGGAAGGTCTGGTGAATAAAATAAAGATCCATACATACCATTCTGGTTCTTACCGCCCTCGCTAGGAGGCGTGTTTAATAAACTATTAGTTCCTGAGATTCCTCGTCACCGTTATTGAATCACCTGGTAAAATGCACAAATAAGAATAGCGAAATGTTCATATACTCTAAAATGCATTTTGACAAATATCTACTTCGCAGTCTATTAAACTCATATGAGACATTCATGCCTTGAAATTCGCGGATATCCTATTAATTCTTTTAGTTCAGAATGTCAACTATTTTTTGTTATAACTAAAATACAATATCATAGGATAAGAGTTTACTGATTATTTTTCCAAAATAAATAAAACAAAGAACTAGGAATAACAGGATATTAAAAATAAATTATCAGCAAATATAATCACTAGTTTTTCTCTTCAATTATAATACAATATAAACAATAATAATTATTAATATACAGCCTTTCGTTCTCACTTAATCACTCCTCTTGATCTCCTTACTTTCTGAAAAAAAAATATTTGATGTTCAATAATTTTCATTTTACTCAATGACGATCTGTATGCATAACCAAGTTAACTGGTAACTTCGAATCGCACTTTTTACATAACAAGATATTACTTGAGCTTGAATCCATCAGTTTTATGAAGAACTTCGAACTTAACTTACAACACATAACACCTAAGACACATTGACACGTGATTGCAATGTTATTCATTACAGTCACCCATGAATCTCAGAAGAAAGAGTAAGAAAATGGAGGAAAAGTTGACGATTCAAGTTGTCCGGTGAACCACCGATCATAGTCGAGCTGGTGATAAATAAGTTCATAGCCTATCAGAAAAACACAACTTGACCTCAGTAAAGTAAATCGAGTCACTGGATGGTATATTAGTAGATAAGAGTTCGGACACAGCTGAAATCCTGTCCATTCTATTTTCTATAAAACACAATGCTTGAGTGGACAAAAGAATAAGACATATATGCTGCTCTTTGTCTTTTCAATTTCCCTAATGGGTTGCGTGCAAGAACTGTCAGATGACCAACCCTGGAGGTGGAACATTGAAACACAACCTCACTTTTCTTATTTGTTTACAAATGATTGAAATATTTTTTCACAATTATTTTGGCATTCGAATTATGTTTTTTGGCTATTCACATTAATTCGCGCATGCCATCACATTGTGCTGTTGTAATCAATGCACAAAAAATGCAGCGAGAGACGAAGGAATCCGGTTGGTACATTATGATTTATAAGTAAGTACCTACTATAGTCACTCACATATAGTTTTCATTTGGAAATTTGGTAGATTCTCTGATTTCTCATCGGAATTCCTCCTGCAATAGGATCTAATAGAAATTCTCGTGAAATTTCTGAAAGAATGCAAGAAAAATTGAATTCATGCAATCAAACGGGAGAGCTGGTCTGACATGCTGACGAAATATGATCGTGTATGTTGTATACATTTTTAATCTATTAGCAGTATTAGCTTCTATTGCAGGAGTGGCTACAACGCTATTTTGTAGAGCTTCAACAATGGGAATGAAAAAGTTTTTTCTGTTTTACTATATCTTTTGAAATAACGCCAGGAAATGAATAAAAATGATTCCCATGATAGACATCCTTATATCTTGGACACAGTGTATATACCGCTGCAATTCACTTGATTTCCTCAGTTTCGTTCAAAAATTCTCAATTTCATTACGTAGTTTTGCAATCAATTCCTCTTTCGCCATGATAATTTTGTTTTGCATTTCGTCTGATGATAAATATATATATATATTTTTTAAATATTCTATTTTGTAAATCTCCTGTTCAAAAATGGGCCTAAAATATAGTTCCTTTCTAATCCACTGTTATAAGAAGTGAGTTTTGATGTATCTCACAAATTCTGTGTGTCTTCAAATTAATTTTCCATCCAGGCCGTTTCATACATTCCTTCTACATGAGAATGGTTGGTATTCCTTTGGAAAATTAAATAAATGAAATCCATTCTCTTCAGAATTGCCACAATTCATTACACAGCAGGACATTTTCATTTATGCTTTCTTCCCAACAGTTGTCATTTCTGTGTCCGAACTGTTATTTAACTAATAACATAGTGACTCAACAGTAAAGACCACACGATTTTCGAAATAATGAAACTTCTATATAAAAAAATGGATTTTATATGGTCCAAACTAATGTGGAGCGTTCCATGTTGATACTTATTTTCAATAAATATTACTGAAAAGTAATTGCAACAATCGCAGAAGGCAGATTTTCTATAGCAATCATTCACTTTGAACAAAGTTTAATCATAGAAGTATCCAAATGTTACTCGTATATTTCAGTTATATGCACATTTAAATTTGAATTAACGCATTCGTATTTTTGTCTATTGTCTATATCGGAAAACTGTCCTCTAAAAGCCACAACACAACCATGCGTCCTTCTGTATTACACACGGTAAAACAAATTGATTATTCAATGAATGAAAGGAATGCTGACAGAAGGAGGTACGTAGCATCAACTTACATTCAACAGGTTTCCCACATCTATCTACCAACTACCAGTCAATTTCCACACACAAAAAATCCCACGCACAAAATAACAATATCAAACAATACCTATAGCATCAACAAACACATATCATAATATATAATGCAACTTCAAGTCTTAATATATAATTATATCAGTTGGTCTAGGTAGTTGAATATTGTGGTAAAGCTAGTAGAACACAAGCATTCATGAATGCGTACCACTGACTCAACTACTGTTTAGACTGCTATACATACAGTGAGGATCAGAAGTCCGTCGCCCCTCCTCTCCGTAACTTCTTTATTTTACATTACAAAAATGTTAAAAGCTTTCAAAAGGTTAGGATAGGAAAGGGGGATACATTGTGTTTCATTTGTAATGATTTCCTCACTGAACTGGTGCGAAAATAGACGAAATAATAATCAACAAGTGTTCATAATTCCGAAATTATTATTTACATATTTATTCATTTATTTATTTATTGAACAAATAACTTCCAGATAGAAAAGGCTCTGGTATGAGGAAGTACACAATTATATACCTGTAGTAAACATTTCATCATTCAAAATATATCAACAACTGTAAATTGGCGAACAAAGAGTGATATTTGTAGAAAAAACATAGTAAAATGGCATGATTAATTTTATCCTGTTCGCTCAGAAATAATCAGTTTTTTACTTCATTTTTGAATGTACCTATATTTCTGCAACTTTTTATATTGTCAGGTAGTTTATTGAATTCAGTTAAGGCTGAATGAGTGAATCTTTTTTGTCCAATTATGGAGTTAGCGGCGTCAAGATGAAACAAGTTATATTATATAGTTTCATGATTATGAATTTCAGAATTCCGTATCAAAATAATATTCTTCAATTTTTTGTTTATGATTTTATATGATATTTTAAGAGTTTCAATTCTATATATTTCATCTGAAGAATACGTATTTGTTATTTCATACAATTGATTGGTTGGTGTATCAACTGGGAGACGATACAATACTTTTAACGATTTTCTATATAATGTTGATATTTTATTGAAATTATTTTTTGAGAGAAAGATCCTCAAACATGTATTGAATAGTTGATACGACTCAGTATATGAGAGTAGAGAATCATGTTTGCAATTTTAATATCAAGTTTGGGACATCTTTTCAATACACCAATTATTGGAGATATTTTTTTTGTGAAAACATCAATATGTTTGTCCCATTTCAACCTGTCATCAAACCAAATACCAAGATATCTTATCTGGTGTCAGTTTGTGATGTAAACCAATCGATCAAACTTGTTCAAAATTCAACGTAAAATCTAATAATGCAATGCGTGTCCCATTAAAAAGATAAATTTCAGAGTCTCTGCGATTTTTCAGACCCTCTGTATAAATGAAACTCAAACCATTGAATAAATCGAATAAAACCCTTCAACTTATCGATCCAACATATTTTTCTTTGAAATACGTAAAATAAAGAAGTTACGAGGGGGCGACGAACGTTTGCTTTTTTTTTATCCATGGAAGCATATTTTTGGAAGCATCATTATTGAATTTGTGCCTCAGGCAGTCTTCCCCTCAATTTGAATCAAGATGCGTTACAAAGTTATAATATGCCATGGGCAATCAACGGTAAGTATTAGAACTAAAATCAATTTGACACTTGTGTCATCGTGAATTGATGAATTTGTATATTGGGTAACTGCATTTGAAAGTTTTGATTCACTAAGTTTAGAATATGAAGAAGTTTATAAGATCATTTGAATTCAAAAATAAAATTGTTATTTGTTTTATATCAATGATGAATTCAATGATAACTTGGATTGCAAGGATGTAGATATACTAAAGCCAAACCTCCCACGGAAGGTTATATTTTTTTATCTTCTGTGAGAGTTGATTGAAAACAAGCAAACTCATACTTTCGATTCAGTCAGTAGATACAATTCAATATTAGTAAATAAAAAAACGTATTTACCTTCTATCTGTTTTCGATGAAATTCTGTAAGAAAAATAAACGATATTGAAGCTCATCTCTTTCCTTCGTCTTTCTGCCGTTTATATTTACCCATATATTCTAACTGCTGCTTTCTATGGGCTTCCATTAAAGCATTAAGTTCAGCCTTTTGCCTATTCAACATTTCCTCAAATGTTTCCTCCTAAATAAAAATAACAAGTATTAAAATTATGAGCTATTTGTGAAGACAAAGTGGTAATGTACAAAATTAATATAGACGACTTTTCATCGAACAATGTTGGATGGGCTATTCCAGTATATGCAAGTCAATTTTGTTATTCAAAGACCCATATGACCAATATTTTTTTTCTATTTTGTCACGAAAATAAGAAACGCAAAACGCGTTAAAAATCGTATTCTATATATATAGATATACCGAGATTTTTGTTTCTACATATAGGAAATTGAACGAGATACATGTGTAAGTATAATAGTATACAATTTTTTTTTCAAGTTCAACCGGAAAATACCCTTATTTCCATATTTTAAACGAGGCATTCGGTATATTTTTACTTATTTCATAGAAAATCAGATTGTTTGGCCATTTATTTTATCATCCTGAAATTCAAAGTATAATTTGTATCTGTTACTGGTGCAACCTACAGGGAGTTCTGAATATCTTGGAAAATACGGGATTATTCTTACACTTCGTATTCTAATCTTGAATAAAAATCAGTAACAAAGTGGAACGTGTCCAATCTTGGAAAAACAAAGAGAGATTTGTGTGACATAATTTGATTATCCAGAATTGAAAATGATAATTCCCAACCTTCAACAGGTCTCATACAGGGTGTTCCTGGATGTGATTTTCATATCGAAAGAGATAACACCATTGGTTATTTTAGCATTGAAAGTTCGTATGAACGAGACAGAGGAAGTTTAAGTAAGAAATATCAATTGATTCATTTCATGCCTACTCAATTCAAGCATTTATAATAATATTTTTCGTTATCGAAAAATCTCAATGGGTGGCGTACAATGTCTTGAGTTCAGCTATATCAAAATCAGAGGATTCAATCGAAAATAAACAAAAGGAAACTTTGTACTCAACCAAAATTGGATCATCTTCCGTTTTTTGAGGATGCCCATAGCCACATATCTTTTGAGCAAAAAGGAACATAATAGTAACAACTAACGCTACCACTGGAATTGGTATGAGAAACTTAGCACGCGAACATGTTGGAGCTGTGATAGATGATACAAACTTTGACACTAGCGAAGAAATGGAGTAAAGAGCACGTCTTTTATATGCAGTGTTTATTTCTTTGCTATTCACTGGAAATTGTGGGCTAAATGGGATGAAAAATCAAGTTGCCTGTACTATCGACAGTGAGCATCGACTACGATCAGTCAGCAAAAAATGTAATGGTGAAAAATGGAAATCATAAAATTGAAAACAAAAGTGTACTTAAGATCAATTCTGTGGGATCGAGAATATTAGAAAAATCACAATATGTTGATATGTTCATTGATCAAAACAGGTTCATTTATAATTCTGAAAAAATACATCTAACTTAAAATATTTTGCAGAAAGTATTACCTGGTCTGTCGATAACAGACCTTTTATTTATTCGAGGCGAAACATATGTTCTTACATGAACTAGAACATATATGTTGATAAGAACTTGAGTCCTAAAATAAGCCAAGAATAACCCGCTTCCATAAGTAAAAGATATTTCGAATCACCCTCTATAATGCGACGATCAGTGTACTTAGGCGACCCAGACCATGTTCTAGACTTTCCCTCTGTGACCTAAAGTCAAAGAGTTATAATGAAAATATTGGAATAGCCCATTGATAAGATGTCAATCAGAGGGTTAAGAAAGTTACCTAAGAGGAAACCGACTGAATTAAATCAATGAGAAACTGGATAAAAACAATAGCTAATCAGTTGATTTCCTATAAAAACGTATACTGTTAGTATTACATACTGAGATCTAACAATATATAGTCCACTAGATCAGCCCTTGTCTTACCCTCCTGTACAAAGCATTGAAAGTCACGTAAAAAAAGAGAAAGGACCGACGGTATGAATTCACGTGCAACAAGGACAGATATAGTTTCACCAGAGTGAGTTGATTAAATAGAGTGACGACAATAGACCTCCAAATGGCTGCCGTTACCGGAATGTCATTCGTGGTCAAGTCACTGAATAGCTAAAAATCTGAAGGGTACCTCCCATGCAGTAATGAATTTGCGCCTTCGAAGTGTCCACCTGATGTTAGGTTTAGATATATGATATTTTCATAGGACGGATTGTAATATTTGATATCCCAGGTACTGACATATAGAGTTTCATGTCTGATTGATGGATGTATTGTGTCCAAAGAGCAAAAAACAGAGACAAAGCATTGACGAAGTGAAATAGAATGCGTAGAACTGAATGAAGAAAATAAGACATGTGGATGCACCTCCACTATTGTCGTCACTCTATTTGTAATGTCACTCTAGTTTCACCCAACCATCAACTGGTAGCTGCTCGTTGCCTCTCTCTTTTTCGTTGAACTCATTGTTTAGTTCTCTACATCTTTCTTTAAGCGCGGTAAATATTCGATTTGAAATTTCAACGTTCAAATAAATATAAAAAACGGAGTCTTTTCGCTCTAACACGCTTATAGATTGGGAACTTGGTCAATGTCTTCAATTACATAAATTCACACTCAAAATTCTAATCGATAGAAAATAAATTGCAATATTACATTTAAAATGATTCGACCTTCAGCAGATTAACTCTTACATTGTCGTCAATATCTCTCGATCTCCTAAGGTATTTTCTAGGATTTCGATATTATTAGATCATTGATTGTACATATTACTAACAGGTTATATTTGTTGGCATACATTAAGTCTGTAAGCTAGGACAAATTCAGTAAATCAAAAACGATCAGAATTTACAGTTGCGGTTCAATTAGGGTTGAATTATTCACAGGTAGTGTTCTAAAGTTCAGTTATGAGGTCGTCAACTATTTTGATGAATGGCAGCCCAAACTTTCAATTGACTATTTTTGAATTGCATAATCGAGTATTTTCAAGAACTTATACACTCCAACGCACGATCTTCTTTGAATATAATAGGGATTTTCTTTCGTGCGCTCCAAAAGATAAAGAAAACCATCTACCAACTGCGAAGATGTTTTAATATTAACCAGATATCCAATAGGGATAAAATCATTTGAAAATAGATTTTTCTAAATTATTATGTTATCATTCAAAATTTTGTAAATGCAAGTGATTCACTTGATATGCACTTCAAAAGAGTCAACAAAGAACAAGGTTTATCTGAAAAATTAGTGGATGTCATCACAACTGAAATCCGAAACACAGCACAAAAATACACAACTTGAAATACTAATACACTTGTCCTGGGAAGAAAAACGTTTATGATTTCCTGAATTTATTCCAAATTACAGACTCGCACTGTATACAGGCTGACTGACAAAAAGCGTCCAAACCCATAGCGCCGTTATTAATTTTCCGATTTTGAAAAACAAATGAAATTACCAATCAGGTACTATGAGAAGGCGCTGATCATTAATTTGTTCAATTACAACTGTAGCGTCAGCGACTGCCAACTTTTTCATATAGCACGGCACCATATTTTTTCAATTGTTTTTGTTCAAGATTTTTTCCTGAATACAATGAAGTATGACAAGTTGACTCTTAGACAAAATTACTCAAAAAGAAAAATAGATTCTCAGTTGACAAAATATACACATATTTTCATAACATTTTGAGGTGTATCATTGAATGTGGCAGTGTTCTCTTGAATGTGATTTTAAAATGTGCTTGTCAGCGTTTTGTTGAACATACAATTTTAACCTACTGATTGCTGCGTGACTTCAATTCGAGATGAAATTCATTCGTTTCATTCATAAAGAAATGATAAGTAAATAGGACAAGACCATTTTGTCATTTTTCATGAAGCAATCAGTATGTGTGAATCTTGTTTTCATCATGAAGGTTTTAATTTTTTTTACATTACACTTTGCGATTTGATATATCTGACAAATGAAACACTGACATTCATTTCACGGACATTCACTGCCACATTTGATGAAACATTTCAAAATTTTATGAAGATATGTATTTATCAGCTGAGCATTTATTGTTCACAATTATTATTGCTGACGTTGGAATTTGCATTTATTTCTCAATGTCGGATAATAATAGCGGCGCTATAACTTGGGGCATTTTTCGTCAGTCAGCATGTATACGGGGAGGCAGAATAAGATCGACACTCTTCGTATACGGATTCCTAACCTCAATTTGAGCTGAAAAATTCCCATCATTACATGTCCTAAAATGCATCCTCTCTGAGATATAGGGTGTCACGATCACCCTTCAACATACCTCCCGGATCACTCTCAAACATCCCAATGATTTTAACATGTACCAGCGTGTTCGGAAACAGCCAATATCTGGAATCATCTCGAAACAATCGAAAACAGTTGCTCGCAGCGACCTCTACCAGAAATATATTTTTTACACAAGAATGTTCTATAAATCTATTTTTCTACTATGAAACGTTATACAAGTACGCAAAAAAAGTTATGACTTTTCAAAAGACTCAAAAGACATGTAGGAGGCGCCACCCCCACGAAAGAGACAAAATAACAAAAAAAATTATATTATAATTGATAAGTACCCCTAAATACCAAACTTCATTCGAATATGACAATTATTTTGAAATTTATCAACAAAAAACAAGAATGAGTATTCAACTCTGACACTTTGTATCTCAGAAACGAATAACTTTTGGACATATGTTTATACGAACTTTTCTTCTTATTTTGACGTCAGCAACATGTTCCTGAATTTTCTACACGTACTCAAGAAAAACCCTGTATATAAGGACGGCCAGACATCTGCCGTCAGTCAGTCAAGCAGCGAGTATCAGAAAGACAGTCATAAACCGTGTGATATAAAACGTTTTACATAAATAGTAGTTATAGGTTCGATATGAATCATTGTTCCTTTAGTTAAAATAAATTAGTTCGAAAATAAATAGTCGTGTTCGCTTCTGTACCCGAATAACGTAACAATATTCGAAAATGGAAACTCCATGTGATCACGTTGATTATTATGGAATGGTATACTGCGTTTTATTTTTTTTTCTACAGGAATTCTGAAGGAATTAATATG